CCTACATCCCAGAGCCCTTCCGTGGCCAGGTGCAGGCAAATCTTTTCTAGCCGAGGCCTTTCTCCCCAGTCCCCGGCATAGTCCAGGTTTTAGTAGATCTGTTCCTTCAATGTCTAGTGGATATTTACTAAGCAGTCACATGTACCTGATGCTAGGGACACAGATAAACTGTCCATGAGTATACCAACCACATTCTAACTAATGAAGTCATGGTGTCCTGGTTGGAGGAACAACCCAACTGAGGACCCATTGACAGTAGTAAATTACTACGATAATCGTCCTTAATGAATCTCATTTCCCTGAGTTTTCTTTCCAGTGCGACCTTGTCCCTCCTCCCATGCAGAGATGGAATCTAGTTTCCCATCTCTTGCTCCTGGAATGATCTTCTAGGTTCGTTTTCTGTTACTATGTTATCAATCACCATCTGAATGGTTAGGAGCAATACTCATTTGTTACTTCACAGTTTCTGAAGTCAAGAGACAGCTTAACTGGGTTCTCAGCTCTGGGTCTTCTGAGGCTGAAGACCCAGGTTTCAGTAGAGCTGTTATCTCAACTGAAGCTCAGAGTTCTTTTCCAAACTCATTGAGTGTTGAGAAAATTCGGGTCCTTTCAATTGTTGGACGGAAGCTCTAGAAAGGCCCACTGTTACCTGCCATGTAGTCCCTTTCACAACATATTTGCTTCTTCAAGAATGGCAAGAAAGCTTTTCTGTTGCTTTGAATTTCCCTTTCAAGGAAGGTCTGGGCCCCCTTAATAAGGGCTCCCCTGATTAGGTCATACCAGAATAATTTCGTTTTTTATTAACTCAAACTCCACTGGCTATCCACTGCCATGAAGTAAATTTCAACTCACTGTTGAAATTCACAGGATTTTCTTAACTGTAATCTTTTAAAGGAGCTCTGGTAGCGTAGTGGCTATGAATCGGGCTGCAAACTGCAAGGTCAACAGTTCGAAACTACCAGCTGCTCTGCGGGAGAAAGATGAGGCTTTCTGCTCCCGTAAAGATTTACAGCCTCAGAAACCCTGTTCAGGATCGCTATGGGTCGGAACCGACTCAATGGCACTTAACAACAACAACAAATCTTTTAAAAGCTAGATCAACCAGACTTTCCTTCCATGGCTCTGCCATGTGGGTTCAAACTGCTAATCTTTCAGCTACTTGTCATTGTTGTTAGGTGCCACCAAGTTGATTCCAACTCATAGCCATCCTATGTATAACAGAATGAAATACTGCTAGTAGTTGTATGTAAGCCATTTGTGCCACCAAAAAAAAAATCCCTTTCCTTTTGTCATATAGTCCTAGTGTGGTGCTGCGGGTTAATGCACTGGACTACAATGTCAGTTTGAACCACAATGTGGGCGGTTCAAGCTCACTAGCTGCTCCTCAGAAACCCTATACAAGGTCGCTCTGGGTCAGACACAACTCAGCAGCACTTAACAACAACAAAAATCATGCTTGTAAAATTGAAGCATATTCATAAATTCCACCAAGCCTGAGAGGGAGGACATGTACCCTTTGGGGAAGGAGGGGGAGGAAGACAGTGGGAGTACGGCAGGAATCCTCAGGACTGTCTTTGAATTCTCTTACCACACTTCCCATGGCTGGCTTTGACCACCTCATTCTATTGGCTGAAGCGAATCACATTAATAATAAACCCCATTGTTTATCAGTTCCAAATCATAGACCTATTCAGGTCCTTAAACTCTTACCCAAGTTGATTCCTCTACTGGGATGCCCTTCTCATTCTTCATGCAAAGAAAAATTCCTACTCATCTTTGAAATCCCAAATCAAATGTCCCCATCTCTGAAAAGTCCTCTGGGTGTCCTTCTCCAGACAGTGAGCTAATCCCTTACCTAAACTCCCAATTACAGGTCCCCCTAATGAGGCCCACGTCCTAATCCCTGGAACCTGTGAATATATTGCTTTACATGGTTAACAGGACTTTGCAGATACAATTAGGTTAAGGATCTGGAGATAGGAAGATTATCCTGGATTATCCAGTGAAGCAGTAAGTGTCAGGGGAAGTTGGTATAATAAGGAAGTAATAAATTGGTATAAGGAGCTCTGGTAGCATAGTGGTTACGAATTGGGCTGCAAACCTCAGGGTCAGCAGTTCGAAACTACCAGCTGTTCCATGGGAGAAAGATGATGCTTGCTATTCCTGTAAAGATTTACAGCCTCAGAAACCCTATGCAGGGTCACTATGAGTGGGAACGGACTCCACGGCACAACGCCACCACCATCACCACCAATGAGACTTTCTGCCCACAAAGATTTACAGCCTCAGAAATCCTATACAGGGTTGCTATGAGTCAAATCAGTACAAAAATAAAGGTGTGTTAATTTCCTATTTCTGTTGTAACAAATTGTCACTAATTTAGTAGCTTAATTAATGGACTTTGCAGTCCAGAGCATTAGTCCATAGTGCCACACTACAGTTCTGGAAATTAGAAGTCCAAAATATACATGAACCAAGGGATGCCGACAGTATCTAGAAGTCAAAAGATGCCAGGAATTATTTCTTCCCAAGAGTCTCCAGAAGAAACCAGTTATGCCAATATCTTGACTTTAACCCAGTGGCATGATTTTGGACTTATAATTTCCAGAACTGTAGTGTGGCACTATGGACTAATGCTCTGGACTGCAAAGTCGGTTTGAACCACAAGGTTGTTGTTTCAAGCTCACCTGCCACTCCTTGGAAGCCTATACAGGATCGCTATGGGTCAGAAACGATTGGACAGCACTTAACAACACACAGTACTATATTCATATTGTTTTAAGCCACTAAATTAGTGACAATTTGTTACAGCAGAAATAGGAAATTAACACACCTTTATTTTTGTACTGAGTTGATTCATAGCAACCCCGTATTGGGTTTCTAAGGCTGTAAATCTTTGTGGGCAGAAAGCCTCATCTTTCTCCCAAGAAAGAACTGGTGTGTTTGAACTGCCAGCCTTTTGGTTAGCAGTCTACTACTTACCCTATAGCACCACTAGAGCTCCTTATGGTAGGTGCCTAGTCACCTAATAACTGAAAATGCCCCAACTCTGGGCACTTTGATTTCCTGTCATTTTAACCCAAAGACTGACTCTTCACAAGGGTGCACAAAAGCTTGTTGACGGATGAACGCTTACCTACTTCATCCTGCTGCCTGCCTCTTGCAGCTGAACACACATAGACACACTCACACCTGTACAGTTCACACGCACATCCATCTCTCAGCTGGCAGCTCTCCACCCACAGGTTCACCAGCATTCACCTTGGTTGCTGTTGTCAAATGCCGACTCATAGCAACTCGATATAGAGTTTCTGAGGAGTGGCTGGTGGGTTTGAACCACTAACGTTGTGATTAGCAGTCCAGTGCTTATCCTACAGCGCCGGGACCGGGGTGGTGGTGGTGATGGTGGGGTGAATGGGTTCTCTTCTAGGTCGTAATTGAACAAATCAGCAAGGAGACGAGAATGAAAAGCTTACAGTTTGATGCAGTTTGATTTGTAACTACAAGAACTAGTGTTGCAGCACAGAAATATATTTTTTAAAATCCTCTTTTCTAACGTATTTGTAATGTCTCGAGAATATAAAAGCAAGAGACAGATTGGACCGGCACATAGCCCTGACTCCTCCCCACCCCCATCTCAGCCCCATCACAACACAACCACTAACATGGCGGTGGGATTTTACCTACTAACGTCCAGTTTCAGAACTGTGTGAATAGTACAATCCCATTTTGTTAAAAACGAAATTTGAAACATACGAGTATACTCGATGTGTGTGGGGGGAGGCTAAAACAGGCTGTAAGAAGATTCGTCAAGATGGTAACAATGATTTTCTCTAAGGGTGGAGATTATGGTCAGGGGTCCCACCTCCTTATCTGTATTTTCTTTCTTTTTTTTTTTTTTAACAATGAACAAGAGTACGGGTGCAATGAAAACTAAAGTTTAAATTATTTCAAAAGAAAGGCAGTGTTTTGTGGGGCAGAGACACTTTGTATCCATTCCGGTGAAGCCAACGCTCCCCTCTTTCTTCCCCAGAGACGAAGCAGGGATCTGGTCTCCCCCTGAGCAATGGCGGAACCCGGGGAGGAATTGCAGGCAGCGGAGGCTGACATGACCAGGGGGCCTGGGAATCAGAAAACACAGATATGTCCGCCAGGCCGGTCTCTGCCGATGACCCAAAGATGGCCCGCGAGGGGCCCGATCCGGGGCGCGGCCCCCTTATTGCCACACCGTCCTCACAGTGGTCTTCACCCGGCCTGCTGGGTGAGGGCAGGTGCCGCCGCCGGAGACCCGGTCAGAAGACAGCTCTACGCCACCCCCTCGGCCTTCCTCGGCCACATCCAGCGCACCCCTCCCTTTCTGCGGTGGCGTTTTTTGTTTTAATTTATCTGAACTAGTTACAAAACCACACTCCCACGAATACATAAATAATGGATAAGGAAAGGGGGGGGAGGTGAGATCTGTGTTTTTAAAAAATTCCCGCAGGGCCTGGCAAGGCGGCAGCGAATGTATTTCTGCTGCATCATATTTAACTGTTTGCAAACTTGCGCTGGGAGGATGCGCGGCGGCTGCAGAATGACTATGACGGGCTCCGTCGCCCTCCCCATCAGGGGTCTGGCGAGAATCTCACAGAGGAGAGAAGATGTCCGCTGTCGGGGCCGGGAAGATGGAGAGGCGGGAAGAACGTGGAAGACAGCTCTGAGCCCGAAGGACCTTCGTACAAGCGAACCTCTCCTACTCTCCCGGCCCCACTCTCACCGCCACGCGGGGTCCCTTTAAGAGCCAGAGCGCGCCCCCGCCCCGCGTGCGCTCACTTTCCCTAGCAACCGCCCCGGGGGAGGGGGAGGCCCTGGCAACGGCGCGCCGACCCGGAGAGTCACGTGACGGCCCGCAGCTGGAACACGAGCGCGCCCCGTCGCGCGCCCGCCCGCCGGGGCCTGTGAGCTGCGGCGCGTGCGCGAGCGGTGCAGCACCGGCCGCGGGAGCAGTGAGTATTATGGGCTGTGGGTGCCGCTGAGCAAGATGGAGCTGTCTGCAGTGGGCGAGCGGGTCTTCGCGGCCGAATCCATCATCAAGCGGCGGATCCGAAAGGTGAGCGATCGCCCGGGGCTGGACGCTTCTCCCCGCACCCCTCGTCTGCGTCTGTGGCTTTCGTGGCGCAGCGGTCCCGCTAGCCGGGCTCCCTGGCCACCCCCGCGCTGCTGCCGCCTCGCGTCCCCGCATCCTCCCCACCCCCACTCTCCCCTGTTTTTCTTTCTGTTTTTTAGGGACGCATCGAGTACCTGGTGAAATGGAAGGGGTGGGCGATCAAGTGAGTGTCGCAGGGACCAGCACCGAGGGGGGTAGGCAGTGGGCGCCGGGCCTTTTTGTATGTTTTTGGGTGCGCACGTTGGCTCGCTCGGCGTGCACCTTTGCCTCTTGGCTTCGGGATTATATTTTGTGCACGGGTCTTTCGGCAGGTACAGCACTTGGGAGCCCGAGGAGAACATACTGGACTCGCGGCTCATTGCAGCCTTCGAGCAGAAGTGAGTTTGGGACGCTGGCCGGGGCGCGGGGAGGCGGAGGGCCGCGAGTGGGGCCGGGGAAGGGGCACTTTCTAACCACTGGCGTTTCTCTGCTGCAGAGAGAGGGAGCGTGAGCTGTATGGGCCCAAGAAGAGGGGACCCAAACCCAAAACTTTCCTCCTGAAGGTAACCTGGCCCGGCCCCAGCAGCCCCCTCTCGGGCCCCAGCCTCGGCCCAGCACGGGGCCTGAAAGGGAGGGACGGATCTGTGGCCGCCTATGCGGGCGGGCCTTTCCAGAGGGGCCCCAGCTGGGCAGGGGGTGGTGGTGGCTGTGAGCCCCCGACAAGCCCCTGGCAGAAGGCCCTGGCCAGCTCCAGCTTCGGCAAGAGGGACCTGAGAGTTGGGGCGAGAATCTACGCTGACAAAAAGCAGCGCTTGCAGGGCTCCCAAAGGGAACGGATGAGGCAGGTGGGGGGGGCTCTACCTGATGGGTGTCAGAGGGACGGACCTCTTTCTGCTTGTCTCCCCCCAGCCTTGAGGTAGACCTTTGCCCAGAGTTAGAACCCAAGAGGAGTTGAGTACGGTCTCCCTCGTGGTAGGACACTGGGGGAGGTGTTTGTGGGCCACCTGCCTCCCCGCACCCCCTTGCCTCCAACTCCTCAGAATTTGGACTGTCTGCCTCCCCTCCCCCATTTCCTTAGCACAGGAGGGGCCTTGTACCGCCACATCTCTTCTTCAGCCTCCCTGGCATGGGGCTCTCACTTGACCTTAAATGACTTCACTTTGAGTTTATCACCGAGACTCAGCCTCTGGCGTCATGGCTCTGAGCCTCAGTTTCCCCCCACTGCTGGCTGTTTCTGAAGGTTCTAATGAGAATGAGGGAGTGGAAGTCAGCTGTAGCAAAGCCGATTAGCAAGGGAGGAAGAAGCCATCTTGGACTTGGGGATATTTTGGTGAGGAAGAACTGTGCGGAGAAGGGCTGGCGATCATCCCTCTGCAACTGACTAGGCTGCAAGGGGGAACCCCCAGGGCGACCTCAGTGGCCTGTTAGTGCACAGGATGTCTCAGGGCAAACCCCTTCCGGCTGGGACTGCCTGTGACGGTGAGGAGACTGATGTGGGCTCCACAGAGAAGACTGAGAATCAGATAGAATCGCCACTGTTGCCAAGAGGTTCAAAGCCTGAGGGTGGAATGGACCCCTACCCCACTCCCACCCAGGAGCATGTGTAAGGGTCTGCTTTGGGTTTTAAAGCAGCTGAAGTAAAGGAAATGCTGGCGTTCAGGATTCCATATTTATGTGCCCTCCCACACCCACCTACTACACGCATCTTCTGAAATCGTGGAGCAACCTTAAACCCTTGCTGCTTAAGAGGGATGGGCCAACAGCAGACCAGCTGAGGAGCTGCGTGACAGCTTCTCAGCGCACCGGGTGCGCCCTCTAGCGGCAAAGCGAGTCATGACAGTGAGCTTGGAGGCACAACATCCTTTTTTTTTTTTTTTTTTGCTAGCTTGAATTCCTGAAAGGAGCCCTGGTGGTGCAGTGGTTAAGCGCTAAACTGCAGCTGGGCTGCTAACCAAAAGGTCGGCCTTTCGACCCCACTGGCTGCTCTGCCAGAGAAAGATGTGGCAATCAGCTTCTGTAAAAATGTACAGCTTGAAAACTCTATGGGACAGTTGTAGCTCTAGCTTGCCCTGTAGGCTCGCTATGAGTCAGAATGGACTGATAGAAATGGGTTGGGCTTTATTTCGAGTTCCTGAACTGACTGTGAGTTCCCCACCCGGATTATCCTGTAATCCTCTCAATAACCCTCTGTGGTTAAGTGGCGTCAAGTGGGTTCCGACTCATAGCGACCCTGTATAGGTTCAACAACCCTATGCAATGGGTAATATATATTTCACAGAATAGAAATCAAGGTCCAGAGAGGGAAATTTGTCCATCTGAAGTCCCACGACCTGGCTCCTTTTCTTCTTCTGGTCCCTTGAGGAATTCGTGTTAAGGGTAAAGGTAAACACACACAGAAGACAGGGACGTCTGCAGGGTTAGTGAGGCAGGGGACAAATGGTAAGTGTGAGTGGGGTCCAGGTGTTTGCAGGGGGCCATGGAGGTCAGCTTGGGCTGAAGGCAGTGTTCTGGGTTCTCGGAGCCTGAGAGGCAGCGTGGTATAGCAAACAGGTTATATGTAAACACCACTCTGCCAGAAGCGCATAGTTGTTAAATGCCACGGAGTTAGTTCAGACTCATAGTGACCCTGTATAGGGTTTCCAAGAAATGATTGGTGGGTTTGAACCACCAACCCTGTGGTTCCAACTAAACTTGCTCACAGCCACACAGCTAGTTAGTGGCTGAGTCAGGTCCCTTAGTGTTCCGTACTGTCTGTGTTGTGCCGTTGAGTCGGCTCTGACCCGTAGTGACCCTATATAGGGTATCCTAGGAACAGCTGGTGAGCTTGAACTGCTTACCTTGCGATTCAGACTGACTTTGCAGTTCAGCGCATTAACCCGTAGAGTCACACTACCGTCTGTTTCTTGTTAAGTGCCGTCTAGTCAGTTGTGACCCATAGCGACCCTGTGTAGGTTTTCCAAGGAGCAGCTGGTGAGCTTTAACTGCTGACCTTGCAGTTCAAATGGCTTTGCAGTCTGACGCATGAACCCACAGCGCCCTGTACGTGCCAAACCCTAGATGTGTTGGCCTCAGGTATCACTTTCGGTGCCCCAGGCAGTAACTGCAATCTTGTAAATGAGACCCAGAAATAAGTTAAGATCCAGACCGAGCCTTCAAAGACAAGGATTTTCACCCTTGCCGGGAAGGTGGGAGCAGAGTAAACCTATCGATTTTGTTTTTACATTGTTTAGAAATAAAGTGTCTCTCATAGATAACTTAGAAACCATACGTAAGAAAAAACATTGCTCGTAAACTGACCATTTTGTTGTTGTTGTTGTTATGTGCCGTGGAGTCGGTTCCGACTCATAGTGACCCTGTACAGGGTTTCCGAGGCTGTAAATCTTTACGGG